CTACTTACCCGCAATGGCTCTTGTCACGACAACGTCAAAGCACATCATTTTAAAGTATCCCCAAGAAGAAATTTCTACAGTCGTCATTGGTGATTCTCAGACCAAGTACGTCCACCAGCATTTCGACCCATGTTCAAGAGGGACTCCCGCTTTCATCTCTCAAGTGGGTGCGCATATCTCCGACGTGCGGTCTTTACTTCACTTTGTGCCAGAATCCGCAACCGCCCTCGTTCTCCACATTGGTACCAACGACATCGCTTCAACAAGTGCTGCTGTAGCATTCGGAAGATACCGATCCCTGCTGGAGCACGTTATGAACGCCAAGCCTCACATTTCAAGGATTTACGCAACACTCGTTCTTCCACGCTGCCCTAACCGCCGTAATGGCAACGGCAACCTTTCATTTGTTTACCGGTGCAATATGGAAGCCACGTACTTCAACCGACTGCTGCACAACTACTGTAGGCGCTCCAAGAAAGTTTTTTTCATCGATCATGGTCTCCACTGGCTGCCCCTGACACGTGTGTTGGCAGCTGATGGTCTTCATCTAAGCTTCGAAGGTGTTGCCATCATCGCCAGCCACATTCGCGAACTCTGCTGCAAACGTTTCCTAGGAACTACATCATCATGGCGTGACTGCCCACCTTGCGAACCCCCAGAACGATCTACGCCGACGTCCCCCAGGAGGCGCCAACAAACGTCCCCTGCGGGTGCTACACACAACTCCGGTTCTTCAAGCCAAGACACAACTCGGCAAAACCGAACTGAGGCTCCCGCCACCACGGGTCATCGCTACCCTACCCGCCGGAACGCCGGTCGAGGGAGTGCCACAGACTGACGGCAGGCGCCTGCGCTTAAAGGCAATGTTTCAAGTCTTCCTTCGCGAGAGTTTTTAGAAGCTAGGAAAATTATTGAGAAAAGAGTTCGTTCCGAACTACACGTATTCTCACTTACGAGCTACTTGAATGCTTCGGTGGTCCCGAAAGGTTTACAGATAAGATTTAAACCAGCTACTTCTGAACTTTCGGCCTCTAACAAAACCAAATGGCAAGAAGTGTTAAGTAAAGCGTCCTTAGATCTCATACCCATAATTATTAACCATTATAAATCTTGCACGCAAGACCTTCAGCATACAGAAGCTCGCCTGTTAAAGAAGCTAGCAGTGCATGAGTCTGAATGTTTAATTGCCTATGAAGAACGTAAGAGGAACAAGTTAAACACAACTAAACAGAAGAAGTTTCTACGTGATGGTTTATGTACGCACGAACGCGAATTTGAGGTGACCAAACGCGCCGCAACACGTTCGAATGATTCGAAAGACCAGTCTTCTCAAATAGATAGCAGCGTTGTAAACCTTTCAAACATAGTTCTTTCCAACGAACAAATGGGTGCTCTGTCAAAGGGCCTCAACTTTTGCCCCGCTTCAGGTGGCTTCAACGAGTTTCAACTTCTGAAGGATCTACACAACTTTTCCCGTAATTTGCGTCTGAGAGAATACTATCATGACCGCCGAAGCCCGAATGAAACCAGACCTGCACTACCGACATATAAACAATGGACACCCCCACCACATCGCGACAGATGTCTTGACATTTACATAAACGCTGTACAACGCGACATTTTCGCTGCCTATAAGAAAACTGCGCCTTACCGCCACAATTTGTCCAAAAAAGAGAAGGTTGCTCTCGAACAGTTGTCGACAAACCATGACATCGTCATCAAACCAGCCGATAAAGGGGGGGCCATTGTAATTCTCAACGCGGTTGACTATATAAGCGAGGCCGAGAGGCAACTTTCAGATGCCACTTTTTACAAAGCTTTGCCCTCCGATCCTACCAGCGAATTTAAATCTAAGCTTAAGGACGCACTTACGTCTTTACTAGAACATGGTAAATTAGATGAAAAGACAGTCCGCTCTTTGGTACCACTCAGTCCCGTAGCGGGAAGATTTTATATGCTTCCTAAAATTCACAAGCAGAATAATCCCGGCCGCCCCATCATTTCCGGAATCGGCACCGTTACCGAAAATTTATCTCGTTACGTTGACTCCCTCATAAACAAGATTCCAGCCACATTTCCGTCATTCATCAAAGACACCAACCATTTCCTTCAAGAAATTGTAGATCTTCATGTTCCATCTGGTTCAATGTTAGTAACGCTGGACGTAGCATCACTATACACCAACATACCGCATAAAGATGGTATTTCTGCAGTAATAAAGGCCTATGAAAATTCCCCTTTAGATAAAACTATTGATAAAGAAGCGCTTGGTACTCTTTTGAAACTTATCCTTGAATTAAACAATTTTGAGTTTAACAACATTCACTATGTACAAGCCAACGGCACCTCAATGGGTACGAAAGTAGGCCCTAACTACGCCAACATTTTTATGGGCATTCTGGAATGCGAATTTTTAGGTAAAAACATGCTTCAACCTCTCTACTATAGGCGCTTCATTGACGATATTTTTCTTGTCTGGACACATGATGAAGCAAGTCTGCTTGGTTTCATTCAAAAGTTTAACAATTTCCATCCGTCCATTAAGTTCTCGCACCAATTTTCGCGCATTTCTGTAAATTTTCTCGATGTCACAGTCACCATTTCCGAAGGACAACTTGCTACGAAGCTGTTCCGCAAGCCTACTGACCGACATCAACTCCTGCATTTTCAGAGTGGCCACCCCCGGCATTGCAAAACAGGAATTCCCTATAGCCAGGCTCACCGCTTTAAACGGTTGTGCTCTGACCGTACAGATTTCATTGAAAATTGTAATAGGCTCAAAAGTTCTCTAGTAAAAAGAAAATACCCGGAAAAACTAATAGACGATGCCATAACTCGAGCTGACCAACTCAACCGCACCGAGATTCTGAAAGGAAAGGACGGGAACGATAGCTCTGCTCAAACTAACCTTGTTCTGACATTTTCATCATCAGCTCCTAAGGTATCTGCTATATTGAAACGGCACCACAACATCTTAACCGAAAGTGATAATCTCAAAAAAATTTTTTCTGTTCCGCCTCGTGTTGTTTACCGACGGTCAAAAAACCTTCACGACATGTTAACGTCATCTAAAATTGGTACCCGTAAAGAGAGTGGCTGTGCACCTTGTAACAAACCACGGTGCAAAGTGTGTGTGCACATGCAAACCACGCAAAACGCCGCGAGCACGTCTTCGGACTTTAAATTAAAGATTCGTGGTAGCTTCGACTGCGACACTTATAATGCCGTATACATGTTGGAATGTAGTGCCTGTTTGAAACAATATATTGGTCATACTGAAACTCCATTCAGAATACGCTTTAATAACCACAAATCCCATGTAAATATATTCCCTCATCTACCGCTATCACGACACGTTCGCATGCCGGGCCACTCTTTCGATCAAATGAAAGCGACCATTCTTGAATCTGGTTTCCGCTCAAACCATGATCGCGAACTCCGGGAATCATACCTGATATTCAAGTTCAATACTGTAGCAGATGGTATCAATGAAGATGCAGGCACATTGACGTGTCTTCCTTCCACGTAAGCTTATTGGTCAACAATATAACAAGTGTACGCTAGTCTGCTTCTTTATCAGAGAGTGCGCTGTGCTGATAATGTATACAGAAACAGCGATTCTTATATATATATAATAGAATTATTTATCATCGGCAACGCGTATATTTTACACGCGAACCATTATAAGAAAAGAGCTTTGACATCCGTAATGTCGCGATGCACACGTGTATCCCGCAAAGCCGTATCAGCTGCCAATGACTTACAAATGGTGACATCACACAGTGCTGTATAGATATATATTTTTGATCACTGAAAACCGTTTTTGTGCTGATACAGATGAGCCTTGTTCGTTACACAAGAGCATGTGTGTTTTTTGGGGGGGTCTCGAATATTGACATATATAAGCGCGCGATTTTTATGCCCTGTATTCCCAGACGAAGGCCGGTCCCACGGTCGAAACGTCGGACTAAACTGTGCTGAAACGTTCGTTGTGTGTGAATTACTCCTTTTTCTATACTATCAGAGCCTGCGTGATACTTCCTATAATCCCTTATATATATATATATATATATATATATATATATATATATATATATATATATATATATATTGACGACAGAAAAAATATTTGTATAGAGGATTCATGGTCACGTCTTTATATGACAGTAGAGGAATTCGTATGGAAAATTCGCAGTTTACCCTATTACATTCGAGCAACCTTCTCTAATATCATTAACTTCATGAATATGACGTGGTGTTTTTTGTCTGTCTTCTTCGCCAATACTGCCATTCATTTCTTGTTGCACTCTGCTTTGTAGCTGTGTTCTTCCTTCTCTCGGCGATTTATGTGCTTGGTTATTTCAACGAAGGGTCGTCCTTAGCGGGTCAATGACGCTCAGTGGCTTAGACACGAAGCCAGAGTCTACCTCTTTTGCATTTGCGAAGTTGAGGTCATGTGTGAGTGTTTTAAAACAGGAGCTTGGCGTACCCACGTAGCGATTGAAACTTCTGTCTCCGGAAACAAATTGTATGTTGTGAAGAAACAGAGAGCAGATAATGAAACGCACATAGTCACACTTTAACGCCTGAGCTTAGCCGCCAGCATAACCGTAGGAGCTGCTACTGTTTGAACAGCGGATTGGGCTTGATCTGATAACTTTTTAAATGCAGTGGCTCAAAACGCTCAGACACAAGTGTTCCTGTGCCGGGACAAGGTTTACGGCATGTTTGTTGGCAATTGCTGTGTTTCGCTGTGCCTCAGAATAGTCGACAGCGTTTTCTTTTCACGGTTTTATTGTTCCACAGCGTACAAAGAAACCTGGTTATTTTTTAGCCAGTACAGTTTTTAATGAAACATGTAACTTGATGAAACTGTATTCTGATTAGTCACCTACAGCTACTTAACTTCAAGATTTAATAAATAAATATATATATATATATATATATATATATATACGTACAATTTCTTATTTCCAGAGGAAGTGCTGGACATCACGGCACTTCATAGAAATTTTATTTACAACGAACGAACCACGCCGCAACTCGAGTGTCACGGACCAGAAGGTAGGGCCATATACTTCGACTATGCAATCAAAGAAGTTCCTTTTAAGAACTTGACCCTCCGTTCTGAGCAAATAAAAGGTATGTGCATTTGAAGTAACACGACTACTCATAGACTGCCGAGAAGGTGGTTACGCAAAAACTTTGATTACCCTGCACTTTTCCTCACTATGTACACTCTTAGAAATTTTAAATAGTCTGAACTGGTATGTGAACAAAATATCAGTTGGAAGAGAATGCTGACATTTATTCTGAGACAGTGTAGATAAATGTTATTTTGTTGGTCCTTTAAGATAAAAAGTGACCTATTTTTACGAAGAATGAGCTTTGTTATTTGCGGAAGTGTTCGATGGTTCTGCAGGAAACTGACCTCTATGTAGCAGCCTGCGATTCCCCTATGTTTGTCTGCAGAAAGTGGTACTTCACATTCCGCAATTTACGTAGCACTCTGTATCATTAGCATAACAACATGGAAGAGCTTTTACAAAATTAAGTCAACAATCAAACATTGACCATATGTCTAGAAGGAGCACATCCTTCGTTCTATGCACCCACATCAGGCACAATTTTATGACATAGACTTTTATTTGTTCGAAGGCTACAATGTCAAATCCAATGAGAGTAAAAACGCGAAATTGTTTTCCAGAAAAAATATTTTTGAAGAATTTGTCAACTGATTTTCCGAAATCAGGGCGCTTTGATTTTTGGTATGAACCGAAACATGTGTAAAAGTTCAGCAATGCACTGATGTAAACAAGCGCTTTCGATCCTATGAAACTATTACACATATTGTAATATGTATTTCGATCGTCGAAACCGTTGCCAAGAAAATTCCAGCTGTCAAATGAACGCCTCATAGCTGCACGTTTCTGTTCAAAATATTTGTTGGTATTATCAATGATATATCTTATCGTTTGGAAAATATTCGAAGTCGTAGTTGCGTCATATTGCAAACAAACATTTAAATTTACCAGTGCAATATAGTTAGCGTTCAGATTTGCCACCACGGCTATGCTTTTTATACAGACTAGAGGGTTCTCAATTTGTTGTGAAGCTACAGAAACGAGGTGTGGTTAGCCGATCTATGCATTACTATAGCAGTTTTACAACATAAGCTGGTAAACTTTTTATACCTGTCACCAAATGCTGATATTTTTTGCAATTTTATATTCCTAGGAGTTACTTGTATCTAGTAAATTACAATGAATAGCTCAATGAGGCTTAACACGCAAGCAACATAAATTTGATAACTTGTAACTCCTACGCAAGATGTACTTTCCCCCCTTGTAGAACACTTTAGATGTCTTCATTCGTGCATATAATATTTTCCTAGCTTGACGTATAACTTTAGCCAAATTCACGCTATAATCGCAGTCAGTCTTCAATATTTTCAGGCATTATGTTGACGTTAAGGTTAATGTATAATACAGACACATTTAAATACTTTTTTTGCTCTTATAGGGACCAGTTATGTCTACTGTCGCACCACCATAGCACTTCAATATTGAATGTCCCTTCCAATCTCATTATAGTGTGCTATTATTTCCCATTTCTTGATTGTGGATACGGTTTGTAAATAAAAAGTCGGATTACATTTTTTATTAACTAAGCTTTTGGCATAACACTGCAATAAATCAACCAGCCAACAATTAACCAAGCACCAAGGCAATAAACTACTCAAAATTTTTGCTTTTTGTTCCAGTACCCATACAGTGTTTCGCATATCTCACGTACTTTTTTGTCTGCTTTATTTTTCAGGAATTTACAGGTTGAAGTTACCGAGTCATTCCTACACCCATTCAAGAACAAATCTATTTTGGTGCCATGTGGAAAACACAACACTCTCATACGTTGGGTCACCAGCTATGTACTACGGCGAATGTAAGCGTCAACTCGGATGCTCTCTTATATTGTATTTAAAAGTGCAAGGGAGACGAAGGAATACGCGCATGCCTATTAGGACCATTTTCGCTGCCTAATAAATAAAAAGCAGTCCTGCGTAATTATCCGCTGTAAAGAGAGCTATTATTAAACAGCGTGCCACAATTTTTAGTACCACTAATGTACATAAATGGGACCCAAAGAGTTTCATGTAAAGAGCAGGTCAATTTATGTGTCGGCTCATGAAATATATTACGAGTACCGAGCGATTTAGGCTACTCGCTTAAGGAACCAAGTGTGGTCAATGTCTTTCTTAAGGTCAGCTAAGACTCCTTACTCCATCGATTATTTATTAATTTGTTAACTTTATTTATTTATTTATTTATTTATTTATTTATTACCAGTTATTCCTGTCTCATAATTGAGATATGGCAGGTGTGGTTGCAATAAGCGAATAAAAAGTGGTTGCAATAAGCGAACAAAAATAAAAAAAAAACAGCAAAAATGAAAACATGAAATTACATGACTGGACACTTTGTTTTACAAACTGTCCATTAGGTAGTCGTCTCAAGAAAAAGTCCAGATTATTCCAGGTGTCAACAGTGCACGGAAAAAAAAGAGATTTTATAACAATCAATAAAGCATTCGAATGCCACATTGTTTAATGAACTGTATAGGTGGGTCACATGACTTGTATGACTGCTGAACGAGATTGGTGTGGCTATCCGGACAGATTTTTTTGTGCATGATGTTATGATGCATGATAAGCCGATCGAACATATGTTTGTGTTTCAAATGGTTTAGCGAGAAATTAGGGTAGGGACCTGAAGGAGAGAAATTACGAACGTAACGGTAAAAAATTACTGATGGTTAATTTGTGGGTTTTAACGTCCTAAAGCCATCATATGATTATGAGAGACGCTGTAGTAGAGGGCTCCGGAAATTTAGAACAGCTGGAGATATTCAGCGAGCACCCAAATCTGAGCACACGGGCCTACAGCAGTTTCACCTCCATCAAAAATGCAGCCGCCATAGCCGGGATTCGATCCCGCGACCTGCGGGTCAGCAGCCGAGTACCTTAGTCACCTGACTACAACGGTGAGGCACAGTTAAATATTAATCTGATTGCGTCTTGCTCAACAGACTCATGTTTATCTATGTCATTTGAAAGATGTGGAGACCATACAACTGACGCATATTCAAGAAGAGGCCCGACCAGTGACTTAAAGACTATGAGCGTATCTTCTTTTGTGGTGCCATTGAACATTCTTTTTGGGAAACCTAATTTTTAAAGCAATTTAGCAGAAATAAGGTCAATGTGTGCCACTTTAAAGTTTGGCGAGATGACAGGACCAATGTACACAAATTCCTGGACAGCTAGGTTAGGTTAAGTTATGTTATGCTAGGTTTGGTTAGTGTAGGATCGGGATGGCCATATTTAATTGCAATGGCTTTTTTTTGTTCGTAAAAGTTACAGTCATGGTTTCCTGAAAATTAAGCTTCATTTCCCAAGTTCTACTCCAGTCGCAATTGATGAGTGATGACACGCACAGTGGAATACAACACACAGTCATCGGCATTTAAAAGAAGAATGACTGGAGTGTTAGTGACAACCTGAATGACATCATTATTCTAAATTATGAATAAAAGGATCCCAAAACAGAGCCTTGTGGAACACTTGAGAAAATATGAGCTGATGATGACTGTTCGTGGTCACAGCGAACAAACTGACTCCTCAGGTGCAAATAATCCATATTCAAGTCAAGTAATTTACCAGCATGTGAACCTGTGGTAAAGTTCTGAAGTTTGAGTATAAGTTTTTCACGGCATACCTTGTCAAAAGCTTTGCAATAATCAATAAAGATGGCGTCTATTTGTTCATGGTCATACGTGAATTCGATCAACTGTGTGACAGTGTAAAAACTGCTGTGAAAATCATGCTGACGCTGTGAAAGGATAGCGTTGTCAGTTAGGTATTGAATAACGTGCTCTTGAATAATGTGCTCGAGTAACTTCCAACACGTAGATATTTAACAACAAAACTAGTCTGTAGTAAGAAATGATTTATTTATTACTTGATTTTAATATAGCAACATGATTGGCGGTATTTTGAATGTCCCGGGTCAAGTGATTTCTTGAATTTATTTATGAAGTATCGTGCACACCATTCAGACTGTATACATTCTCAGAAAAAAAAAAAAAAAAAACGTTAGGGATATCTTCTGGACCCGCTAATTTGGCAGTGTCTATGTTCAGTAAGACATTATCGATTACGGAGCAACTGATCTCAATATCCGAAATAGCTACCGATACAGAGGGCATGACAAAAGAAGTGACATTGCCGTTATCAGCGGTAAACACAGACATTCAATAACTATCAAAGGCCTCTTAGATCGCTTCAGCTTTCGAACATGTTTCAATTTTAGTAATGAATGAATGAGGTCTCGCAGAAGGCAGATTAATTGTCTTCCAAAACTTGGTTGGTGTTTTCTTAATGAACTTTGACAATGTGTTATTGTAATAGAACTCGCTCGCTTCATGCATATTATTTTTAGTGTTTTTTAATGTACATGAAATTAAATCATGCTTTGGATTAGATAAGCATCAGCGATATAGTCGCTTTATATGGCGAATAAGCTGTATTCTTTCTCAGTTGTGTCATAGACGTATAGGATTGTGCTTGACACATTTGTTTGGCACAAATATTCCTGAACATTTGGACACAATTACACCAAAATGTTTTACAAACACGCTCACACTGCATCTGTTGCTGGAAAGCGAGAAATCGACATAGGAATCTGCTAGAAGTGAAAGTACACCTTCATTGTAGGCATGTGAGAAATCATTGACAACTTTGTATTCTGGTTTCTTAGTTCACAAGTAACCAAAATATTAACAAAGACTGCATTGCGATCTCAAAGACCTTCTACAACTGCACACGCAAAGTCATTATTCAGTATACTAGCCGTAACGAAAACAAGGTCAAGGATTGAAGAACCTGCAGTGACGCTGTGAACAACTTGAGTAAATTCATGGGATACAACGTCGTCGATCAAATAATTACAGTAACTTTATCACGATCGGTTGTGGTGAAGGGCACCCAGCTAATGTGGGGTGCAGTAAAATGCCCCCATATAATCAGGTAACCGTCGTAAAATCTGTGTGTTCTTTACAATAGAGTCAGTGATTGCCAATATGCAGTGGTCATCTTCATTGGGCGGCTGGTAAACAACACCAATCGCTACAAACACAAATACATAGCTTTATCTTACACGAGACACGCACTGGTTCAAGAAGTTAAGGCAGTGTGGTGTACTCAATGCCTTTTGAGATAAAGAGCGCCACGCCACCACCACCACCACCCCCGCATGAACTGTCGGTTTGAATAACCGAGTAACCAGAGGGCAGAAATTCGTTTTCAGAGATATATTCATTAAACCAGGTTTCAGTGACACATATAACTAAGAGATTGTGACACTCCACTTGGAAAATGAGTGAATAAACTTGTTTGCAAAGTTTTGGGCGTACAAACACAAAAGCGTTAAGTTTTCTGACTCACTCTGCCTGCGGTCAGTTCATTGCTTTCTTTGCTTTTTTTTAAACTTTTCTCTGCTATCATGTGACAGGATTATTTCATCTTGGGTATCATTCGAAGTCAACAGCTCTTTGCCAATCTTTATCTTGTTGGAGATAAGCTTAACTTTCTGGCCTACCCTCCGACATTCCGTACCCACCAAGCTCCACTGAATGTCTTTGAAGCTGAAATAAATCATGATTGATTGATTGATTGATTGACATTCTGCAGTGCTTCCCCATAGTTTCTTGCGTACCTGCCTTGTAATAGGGGAGTAGTCTTCCGATGCAGTGTAGTTGCTGCCTTTTAGTCTAAAGCAATGTTTTAGTATGTTTAGTTTCTCACGGTGATCACACAGTTTGATAAAAACCGGTCGATAGTTGCTAGGTTGCTTCCGACCCTATCTGGGAATTTTAGATGCGAAGCAACTCTTGGATTAGCAGTGTAACGCTGTCCGCGCGTGTCTGCGTGCCAACGCGCCACACCGTGCTCCCCTCAGTGCAACTGTTGGGGTGAGGTAATGCGCGGTGAGGTAACTAGGTCACTTTCTACCTCACTTGCCACGCGCTTGCTGCGTGTCACCTCTCTCTGGCTTCAGCCTCTCCATCACTCGCAACGTTCTAGCGCACATCTAGTGAACACCATTCCAGCTCGTTTATCTGCGATGGAGAGGACAGCGGAAAGCGAAGCTCCTTCGCGCGCCGAAACATGTGAAGAAGCGATTTGGCCTAATACCGGTAGTGCATGGGCAAAGAAAATGGCATTTACCTTCTAATGCCTTCAGATTAAATGCCATTCGCGCGGTGCCACACGTATGAACGATATCGCATTCGCCCAAATGCCATTCGTCACCTAATGCCATCGGCAGAACTGAGAAATGCGTACTCTCAACGGCACAGCTGATGAAGCAACTATATTTTATTGGGATGTAAGAAAACTTTCTGCATCTTTTATTCACACTAATTTCTCAAACAAGGGCTTAAAACTTATCTTCAGCTGGTAGACGCTGTAAAATAAGTGCGACAAGCGCCAATTTATTTTTACGCTGCGGATCTGACTACCTTTGGCTTACATTGCTACATGGTCGATTGCAACGTCGTGAAACAAAGCAACAAATTAAATCTAACGGCAGTGTAATATGGTTATTTCTATATTTAATTCTTCTCGGAGGTATATGTAGTTTCCAAATGCTCGTTTATTTTTCTATTACTACCCTACAATTGATCACTACAGAGGATGGTTTGATCGACATCATCCGAGTCAAATGTCATTCACTTTAGAAGTGTAAGAACTCCGCCCCAAAAAAATGTCATTGGGGAAGTGTATTCCTTCACTACCGAATGCCATTTCCTGTGCCCATGTGGCACGGTTATAACCCGGCTGCCGCCGGCGTTGCAAGAGTTAGCAGAGGTGATCGAGTTCATGA